TACAGATCTTATTTATCTAATATCAAAAAATTCAAAAAATAATTAATAAAAATTCAAAGATCTTTATAAATATAAACATTTTAGTTTGGTTAAAATCATTTTATAGAGTTTACAGAAAAGAATAAAGCTAGAAATTGTCTGAATTAGCACTTTAATTTATCTTATTAAAGAGCACCTCTTAGTAATTGCCTAAAAGCTACAACTAAAGTGCTCCTGCGGCAATAATAAAAGTTGTAATGCTCTTCGTTTACTATTAATAGTGAAGTAAAGTTAGGTTTATTTTACAGTATTTAGAAGAGAATCTTGATATTTGTGTCAAAAAATTGCAATTTTTAGATCTGGTTTTATTTCGCAAAAACTCAAAAAATACGACTATTTCTGGTATAAAATAAAAGCATAAAACTCAAAAAATAAAACTTGTTTAAGGCTGGAATATTACTTGCTATTAATTAGTCAAGGCGGTTAAAAAAAAAAAGTCACAGCAACTTATATTACACAAAGAATAATTATTAATAAGATCATTGGGGAGGACATGTTTTGTAACTGATAAGAGCAACAAGAAATATTTATAATCTGGGTATCATCTTCTGTGACCAACCTTTTGATAAAGAAGGAAAGAAACTTCTAACATGGCAGCAGCTAAAAGTAGCGAAAAGTAAATTTAAAGTTGGAAAAAAAGCAAAGTGGTTTACCTTTATAAAAAATGCTTTACTACAAAACCCAAAGAGTAGGGAAATTAAAAAGATCTACCAAACACTAGGCCCAAACAACCTCACACTCTTAATACCACTTGTAACAATTTCACCAGATAAAAGGAAAAAAGAATAGATTCTGATAGATAAAGAAAACAATAAACTAGAGCTAAGAAAGATCATCAAGAAAAGTAATCATAACATTCTCACAGAACATTGGATATCTAAAGAAAATAACACATCATCAGGCTATCTAGAAATAGAAATACCAAATAGAGCACTATCAATAGAGCAAGAAGAAGGTTATAGTTGGATCAGCCAAAAAAAAATGCAGATAGTAATTTCAAAACTAATACAAAGAAAAAACCAAAAATATATCCCTAGATATATAAATATCCTGCCAAGCAATTTTAACAAACTTAAAACATCCAAACCTAGTAGAGAAGAAATAGTGCTCTATAGTCTGCAGTATATCAAACACTTAGATAAGCAGCTAATAATAGATCAAGATTTCAAAATATCTCTGATGAATTGTTTAGAAAATAGTTTAGAATTTAATACAAATAGTAGTAAAAATAGTTTTTGAGTATATACTGACAGTTCATTAAGGCATGAAAGAAACTGATGTAGTATAGATACTGGATGGGTACAAGTAGATGAAAACAAGAAAATCTACTATGGAAGGGCTATGCAAAAATAGAAAATTAGCCATTATCAACAAAGCCCGAGCTTATCGCAATTTGGCTAGCTCTGTTCACTATGCCATTAAGTTGTAATATCTGTGTTTACTTAAACAGTGCAGCAGCAATTGTTGGCATCAAAAAGATCAAAAATAAGTAGAGATTTAACAAAATCTATAAAGAAAAGAACTGAGATATTTTAATTAAAATCATAGATCTTCTCAAAGCTAAAAATATTAATCTAGAGCTTAAAAAGATTAAAGATCATAGCAACAACAAATAGAATAACAAAGCAGATCTACTAGCAAAAAAAGCTACTTTGTTAGCTTACTTGACAAATATTCACGCAGACTGCAATACCAGAATTATATTTTCTCTCTTTTGGAATAATCACAAATTTAAAAAATTGACCAGACTATTTTTAAAAAAGATTTTAGAAACTTGGAATAGTACTAACTGGAAACTAACAGAGACAATTCTGGCTCTAGAACCTGAAACAGACAATTCCAAGTTAGACTAGCATACATACTGAAAAAGGATTAAAAAATTAAAGAAAGTTAAATGTAATATTAGTGATATATTAGTATTTTTAAATTTTTATTAAGTAACTCCATGTAACTTCTAATTGTAGTACAAATCTGATTCTACCAATGGAATCCTTGATATCAATTTCCTTAGTGTAGTTTTTACCGTTTGCCAATCGGGTTAATAGTTAATGAGTTATTAAGGTTTAAAGATATATAACTATAGAAGGTGACAAATAATAATCTGTCACCCCTGTGACACAGACCCATTGGTACAGACCCGTTGACGCAGACCCGTTGGTACAGATCCGTTGACACAGACCCGTTGGTACAGACCCATTGGTACAGACCCGTTGGTACAGACCTGTTGGCACAGACCTATTGGCACAGATACAGACCCGTTGGTACAAAATATTATTCATTTTTACATAGAGTTCTAAAAGATATAAATTCCCCCATCTTTGTGCGGATAAACTACAACACTGATTACAACCTTAAATTACTTTCGTTTAAAATCAACCTTAAACAAACCAACTTTAACAAAATGGCGACTCTTGCCAAATTATCGGCTCTTACTCCACTTTATAATATTTGTGATCAAGTTTTGAAAACTGGTCTCGAAACCACTTTGAAGAAGTGGCTTCTGAAAAAAAATAAAAAAAATTCCATTTGAACCTTCTGCTGCTGAGTGTTTTTATCTTGGCAAATTGTTTCCAGATTTTTTGCTTGAATTCAAAGCTAATCAATATTTTTTGAATGCAGTCTTTTCCTCGGCGAAATTTCTGGCTAAGGAGATATTGTTTCAGTTTATTCGCTTGCATGACGGACCTGTTTTGGACTTTACTGGAGAGTTCATGAGTAATATGACGAAGGGACGTGATTATGTTCATGCGTGTATTGATATATCTACTGTGCTAGCAGAGGCGAATTATATTCGTAATTGCAAATTTTTGCTAGATGTGTTGGGTACGACTTCTGTTAGCAAAAGAAATTACGAATCTCTAAAGAGTTTTCAATGTGAACCTGATGAGTATGTGTACAAAGAACCATTGCATTGCAAAAAAACTGCATCTGTGATGTTATTTAATTGTGTCGCAAATTTTATGCCATTGAAACAGTTGGGGGTATTGATGAGAGTGAAAGGTGTGACTCGAGCATATGGGTATTGTTTGTTCGATCTGACGATTTTTGTTGAGAATTATTCTGAGATCACTCTGTTGGGTATTAGAGTGGCTTTTATGAAGGAGAGAAATAGTCCGAATTTTACCACGGTTGATGCTGAGAAGAACTATATTTGGTTTTTGTGTGGTCCGGCTGCAGATTATCAATTTTGTTATTCTTATAGTGCTTATAAACGATTTTTGACAGCGAATTATATTCAAGTCAGTGATCAAATTTTTATGATTGAAAATTGGCAGACTAATGGTTCTTTTCATTTTTTTAAAATTTTATTTGTTGGTACTATCGATATGTTGCCCAATCCGTCAGAAATTTTGTTGCATGCTCATTGGAAAGATTTGAACGAGGAGTATCTTGTGTTAAATCGTTTGAAATCGACCAATCGTAAACTTCGTGATAGAAAAACCTATCAATCTGAAAGATTTTTTGTTAGAAAGAAAATGATCATGCAAACTGTTTGTTATATTAACGGTTTGAAAGAGAATGATTTGAACTATACGATTGTTTATCGATATTTGCGTGTTTTGAATAGTAAAGTGATTATCGATGGTATTTCCATTATTATGCCTAGATCGTTGTCTTCCGATGAATTGTTAGCTGTTGCTGTTACTATATTTCGATTTTGTTTTCGCATGCGTTTTGATGAAAACGTTATTGCCAGCAAATTGATTGAGCAGATTAAAAAAGGTGACGTATTTGCTGAAGCGGGATTGTTAAAGATGGTGTTAACTGTGGCTGTTGATGCTGTAACTGGTATTATTGATAAATTTTATGATTCTACGTTCGGTGAATTGCAACGTATAATATGTGAAAAACGTTCTACTGAAAAATTGCCTTTTGTGATAGCTGAGGCACCACATTTTGTGACTTTTTGGGATGTGATTAATAGAGAAATGCAATACGATAAGAGTGCATGTCTTGTCGTAGTCGATTTTAATGATCAATATCCGGGAGCTAACTGTTTTTTCTCTGCACATGCTAGAATGTTGATGAGAGTTCATGATTCTTTGGGGCAAAAGGGGAATGCAGATTATGTTCGTCATTTGGTTAGTGTTTTACAATCAATGATAGAAAAGGAAATAAATGAAGAATTGTTGGAAGTTCCATTTTTGATGACGGCTTTTATTGTTTATGCTGTGATCATTTTGAAGAAGAATTTCAATGATTTTTAGAATCCGTCAAAACTGTTGATACTACTCATTCTGTATATCTGATATCGTAAAATTTTTGCTTTTATTGAATCGTTTCAATTGAAAGTTTCGAAATGTGATATTCATGAAGATCAATTGTTGCCATATTTGAAGAATATTGTGATGTTGTATCAGAAATTCATTATGATAGATAATACTTTTTATACAGTTGGTACAGTTGCAACCATATTGGTACATCTCGCAAAATATTTATTTTCGTGTTTTGTTAATGTGTTATGATTGATCGAATTTTTGTTTCAAAAAAATATTGATTTTGATTGTTTTCATTTGCCTTTTAAAAAGGTGTTTAAATCTAAAGTCGTTATGAAAAAATTAATCATAAACGAGCATAGAGAAGGAAGGTCTATTGGGAAAGAGCTCTATGATGAAGATTCTCCACTTGCTAAAATAATGAGAGATTTAAACCAAAGCCCTATAGAAGAAAATATACCAGTCTCTCCTTTTACTGGAAATGATGAACTAACAATTTTCAATCAAATTGTCAAAGCCTATGAGAAAATTAGAAGAAACAATAACAAACGAATTTCTTGATTAGAAATAGTATATTATCTGGGAAAGCTATTCGTCAATAATAGCAATAATAAACAATTAAAAAGAAAATTTAACAGAATATTATTGGAAAAATTTAGAAAATCTGGTGCTAATTGACTTCAAACTTAAGCAATAAGAGTTTACGCTTTGTTTCAAAAATATGGGCTTAATAAACTGTATAACTTATTAGAAGTATATATTGCAGATTTTGAGAAAATAACTGCTGAACAATTTGAAAAACTGAAAAATTAAACTTTATTTCTTTTAAAAAAAAAATACAAATTACAATTCCCCATGCCTAAAAACTTGATATCCCTTACTAAAGCAATACTTCTTTATTGCCTCAATTCTATTCACAATTTGCTTCTTCTTTCTTAGCACCTGAGATGACAAAGCATCTTGACTTAATATTCCTGCCATTCGAAGTTGCTCTTGAACAGATGCTAGTTGATGAGAAAAGATTTGATACTCTTGCTAGAAACTTATAAAAAAAAAAAAAAAAAATTTTTTTTATTATTACTATTATTTTTATTTTTATTTTTAACTATTTTATACCTACCACTGCTCTTCATCAAAACCTAAATCTTCAAGAATATAAGGATAGGTTATTACTTCTTCTGTGACTTCTAGAGTTACTTCTTCATAAGCCACTTCTTCGGAAACCACATTTTCTTGAACTGGTTCTTCCCAAACCAGCTCGTCATCAGAAATAATAACAACCTCATTATTATTATTATTATTATTATTATTTTTTTTAATATTAAGGTGACTACTTAGGCTCCCGGCACTTGGCTTTATTCAGATAAATACGATATTACATCAATTTTCACGAGAATACAACTAGCCACATGTGTACTTTTGTTATCTAATTTAAGTAGTCTGCCTGGGTTCTACACTAGCCGCCATACCTGCAATCTAACTAGGAGATTACCTATTTAA